AAGGGCTGGGGATGTGGCTCAGAGGTTAAGGGCGCCTGGGTTTAATTCTTGGTACCAAAAAAGGGGGGGCCATATATACTATGATATGCATAAGTGCTTTTCAGTAAACATATAAGAAATTGAGTGATTACCTCTAGGGAGATGAGATGACTGGATCTCATAGAAGGAAGGGAAAATTTTCATGCTGAACTTTTTTATAGCATTTGAATTTAAAACACCCATCCTGTAACCTGTCATGTGACTTCTACTTCAGAAAAATAAAACAGTTAGGTCTCCCTGGTATTGTCTATCGTGGAATTCAGTTAGTTTCTTTCCCACTGTGTAATTTTCCCACTGTGTATTTTGATTCATAAGCAGGATGTTTATTTGTGTGTGCTGTCCTATCTGGCTGGTGCTCCTGAAGACTGCAAGCTGTGTTCTGTTTGCCAATTATTGGCACCATCTCTCCTGGCTTCTTGCTCCTGGTGGGTGCTCAGCCGATGCTCCCCAAATGAATGAACTGAGGGAACAAGTAGACAAATAGCATCTCCCAGAGTGTGGCCAACCAGGCACCAAGTGGGGCAGAGGAGCCTGTGGAGCAGCTTGCAGGAGAGCCGAGGGGCAGGGAGAAAGCGCAAGGCCCCGAAGGACTCTGGGTTGAGGGGTCTGAGCTGGGACCACACAGCAGATGCTGGGTGGGAGGGTGGCACTGGGACAGGAGGGGAACCTGCATCCCAGGGCACTGGGGCCACTCAAAGCTCTCTTGCCTTGCCGTCTCCCCCGGGGCTGTTCCGGTACCAGGCCACCTTGTCCTTCTCAGAGCTAGTTTAGTAAGACATGGCGGGTGGCATTTCCAGGTTCTGTGGTGAGTGCATTTTTACCATTCTGTTTCATTTGACCTTGAGGGAAGGAGCAAGTCAGGGCTTGTGAGAGAGAGGACTTAGTTTATTTACAGTTATAGGAATGAGAGAACTATCCAAGAACAAAGGACATTAAGTTTTAGGCAAAAATAAAGGTGTCCTAACTATAGGCCTTGCCTCACCCCTCCACTGTGGGAGGATGTGTCTTCAAAGCCATTTTGCATTTAAAAGAGTAGGGTGCAGAGTAGGGTGGGTGCCACTTTGGAGAGGGAAGCCTACCCTTGCCCTGGCGGTGCATTATTAATAGTATCATTAGTGGTTTCACCTCACATGAGTTGCTTAATCTTGATTTAGTCTTGTTGTCTTCTAAAAAATGACTGGACTGGGCAGGATTCAATGAGAAAGTCAAGGTAGGAGCATCTGGGTTTTCTGGATGCACAATATTATAGTATTTGTTAAGAATAGTGAATATTATGTACTGAGCACAGTGCTTAGTATTTTACAAAGTTTATTGCATTTGATACTTTGAAAAACCATATGAAGTGAATGTAATGATCTTCGTTTTACAGATGAAGAAACTGAGGCTCAGAAAGGATAGAGTCACACCACCGGTATGTGGCGGAGACAGGATTTGAAATGGGCCATCCTGTCTCCAGCCTGCTCTCTTAAGCTGTTGATGGGAATCCTGCACCTACTTTATTAATCTTGTTGATACTGTTAATGTTCTTTGAGTAATATCAGCATAGAGGGAAATGAGAACAAAGTTAATATAATTATTGGATTTTTAAAATCGCGAGATTTTTCCCAAAAAACTAAAGATTGAATGTTTTCTCTGATTAGTGGATACTGATCTCTAATTGGGGGGGGGGGGTGGGAATAGGAAGAATGGAGGAACTCTGGATTGGGCAAAGGGGAGGTGGGGAGGGGTCATGGGAGGGGTAGGAAGATGGTGGAATGAGATGGACATCATTACCCTAGGTACATGTATGACTGCATGATTGGTGTGTCTCTACACCATGTACAACCAGAGAATTTGAAATGTTGCGCTTCATTTGTGTCTGATGAATTGAACTGCATTCTGCTGTCATGTACAACTAAATAGAACAAATTTTTTAAAATGCAAGATATAAATAAATTAAAAATAAAATAGTAGGATTTTAAAAATAGCAGCAGATGGGTTGGGCATGTAACTCTGTAGTAAGAGCCTAATGTGCTCCAGGACCTAGGTTCAGTCCCCGACACTGCAAAAAATAAAAACAGTGGTAGCTTTTCAACAGTACCAGTACTCTAGTACTCAATTCCTCTCATCGGCTCTGTTAAAACTATGTGCTTTGTATGTTAACCTTCCCAACCTACAAGACTTGGTCACCAGGCCACATTTGCCGGTCAGGTCACTGTCTCTGATGGGAAGCAGGGCTGGATCATCCCTTGTGGGTGATTTAGTGAGGAAGCAGATTTATCAAGTTCATTTCTTTTCTCCTAGGTTTGTTCATGGTAGATATGGCGGGGGGGTGTGGGGGACAGAGAGAAGCAGGTCCCCAGACCATCTCATGTACACATAAGCAGACACTTGTCTGCGACTGTAAATCAGAAACTGTAAAATTGTGAAGTTCTTTGAAGTTTGCCCAAAACCTGCTCCACGGCCACCTGTTCCACTGGGGGCGGGGAATTGGATGGGCTGCCTCTGCTGCGATGGCTCAAGCTGTCACTGCACCGGAATGTTCCAGCTTGCCTTGGCCTGGCTGTCATCGCTGGCTCTGTCCCACTCAGGCGGTTCACTGGGTTCTACTGGGCACCAGGCTTTCCAATTAGAGAGAAATCCCACTGTGCGGCCAGCCCCGCCAGCGCCGCTCTGAGCAGCCCCTTTGCCAAGGCCCGCGCTGACCTCTGATCTGTCACAGATGGGCCAGCCCCACATTCTTTTGTGCACATTTGGAGGAGGGGGGTGGGTACCAAGAGGGAGGTCCACGGGGAGTGAGAGTGGACATTGGGCAGAAGTGCAATTCCTCCGAGCTCAGAGAAGCTGGGCAGAGCTGACAGGACCCAAATGCTAAAGTTGCCGAGGGAAAGGGGAGTTTGAGAAGACCCTGTCCTGGGCCCTAAACTCAGCGTGGGGCATTTCCTTACCAACTTCTGAATATTCATCTCAGGCTGGACTCCACACCGGGGAGAGCCACTAGTGGCAGCTAACTGGCTCATTCCAAAACTGTCACACTGCTGATGGCACGTGGCACAGCCAGCTTCCCCCGTCCCTCTGCAGGGCCTGTGCCATCTCATAGCCAGGGAGCCCCACACAGCCTGGGCTCAAGGAGCAGAGCAGCCTGAGCAGCCCACACAATGGATTGTATGAATCACTCAGAAGGGGAGCGAGAAAAGAAGCTAAATTTCTATTAGCATCAGAAATAGATTCTTAGCAAATTCCATCTCTAATTCTCTCCAAGGCCAGGGAGATATGATCTAAGCTTGAACAGCTTCTTTATAGACATTGGACTTGCTGAACCTGGTTCATTATTTTGGGGGCGGTGTATGTGTCTCTTCTTTATCCCTATCAGCAATTTCTCTTTATTTTTATCCCTTTTCACTATTTCCTTTCTCTGCCTGTCTCTTTCTGTGTCTCCGTCTCTCTCTTGCCCTCTCTCTCTCTTTTTCCAGGTGCAACAGCTGTGAGTCTGTAGTGAGAAGTAGTAATGAAGGCAGCAGCTTGAATCCGACGTCTGTATACTTGGCTGAGCTGGACCAGAGCTCTCACAAAGTCTAAATAACCAGGGGGCTGACAGTGACAAGGGTCTTCCCAGCTGTTGCTGGAGTGAGCGTGTGCCTCTTTTAGAAATAAAATAGAACTCAGTCCTTGGAAGCAGAAGTGAGGGGTGTCTTCACTTGTCTCCTCTGGAATGTTCCTCGTTTTGGTGTTTGCAGTTGGTTTGGGAATTGCTGGACTTTCTTACCCCACTTGACCTTTTCTCCTGCCCCACCTCTTTTAGTTGTTTTCCTGATTGGTTAAAGCGAAACCCCTCAACCAGCCAGTGATGCTCATTTGGAGCTGGTAATGACTGTTTCTTTAGGGAGTTAATTTGTCCCCATGAGGGCAGGCAGTTTTGGCTGAAGCAAGATGCCACAATGAAGTGACGCACCGTCTCTCAGTCTGTGTGTGTGACTTTGTTAGGCTGATAGAAGGACTGGCCTCGGGTCTCCGCATATGTCTCTAATTGTGTCTCAGAGAAGGAAGCCCCGCGAGACAGCCAGAGAAGTGTGATGATTAGACTGGGTGGTGTTTGTTCTCCGCAGCCTGCCAGGTGGAGCCTACGAACACCAAGACAAAGTTGGGGATCTAGGTTGCATCATTGGTGTAAAAAGTCCTTTAGATGCAGCTGAGTGCTGTGACCCAGACTGTGACGGTTGCTTTCTAGTCTTAATGCATGCCTTAGTATTGGTCATGATCAGGTGGTGCTCACAATGACACGATTTTGTGACACTACACATTCTCGGTTCTGTCTCTGACCACGCCAGGCTCATGCATCTGTTCCTTTTCCTTTTCTTCTGTTCCAAGCCCCAAATGCTGTCTGGGACAGAATGGAGGCTCTTCTCATTTCTTTCCTTCTCTCTTTGGAGATCACCCCAAGGCTCCCAATCTGCTGCATGCATCAGAGTCACTGAAGAAATCTTAGGGAAAAGTACAGATGAATGAGCCCCACCAGGGGGTTCTCCTTCAGCACATTATGGGGGAAAGGCCTGGGGGTCACAAATTACTGAAGCTCCACTTTTTTTTTTTTTTTTTTGTACCCAGGATTGAACTTAGGGACACTCAACCACTGAGCCACATCCCCAGCCCTATTTTGAATTTTATTTAGAGACAGGGTCTCACTGAGTTGCTTAGGGCCTCACTTTTGCTGAGGGTGGCTTTGAACTCAGGATCCTCCTGCCTCAGCTCCTAAGCCACTGGGATTCCAGGCACGCGCCACCCGCCTGGCTCCACTTTTGATTCTAATGCGTGCCCTAGTTTGTACCACAGTCCTATGCCGGGAACTCCTGGAGGCCAGAGACTCCATTCAACCCCCAGCGCACAGCCCCCCAGCTGGGTGTGGAAGGTGAATCCATGGTAAACGGAGAAGCTGGCGAGATCCCATGTGCTGTGGACCGCTGAGCCTCCTCCTCTCCTTGCAGATATTCCCATCATCCCGGATCTGGAAGAAGTGCAGGAGGAGGACTTTGTTTTGCAGGTGGCATCGCCTCCGAGGTAGGTTCAGTTAGGTCAGAAACTGGCAACGAAACAGAACAGATTAACACACCCAGCCACCCTCTGGAGAGGGCCTTGCTGCCCCCCAGTGTAGAGGCAGTCTTTCTGGTGATGGCTCCCTCCCGAGTTCCTAACTAGTTCACACATTTGATTCCCACCCTGGTCATTCCCAGCTGCATACCAGGCTCTGGGCACAGTAGCCCAGCAGCAGTCCTGGATCCTGTCCTGCCTGTGGTCCCTCCTCACACTTCCTGTCCTTCAGCATCCAGGTGAACCGGGTGATGACCTACCGCGACCTGGACAATGACCTCATGAAGTACTCGGCCTTTCAGACCTTGGTGAGTGGAACGGCTTCTGCACAGAGGGGCAGGTTCCACACAGCCTCTGTAGAGAGATTTCTCAGTTCCCCCAAAGCCGTACAGCGACTTGTCCACTGTCCTGGGAGGTGGTGTCCTCAGGGATCTCGTGGCGTGCCCAGGCCCACCATCCTCCAGTGTGTCCAGGGCCAGGCCCTGCTGCTCTGTTGCCATGCCCTCTTTCACCTGAGGACCCGCACTGCCTCCTGGTGTGGCCCTTCTGCCAACACTGCCCAGCGTGGAGCATGTAGCCTTTCCTCCTTTCTCAGTGGCCCTGTGGCCCCCTCAGGTGTTGACTCTGATGAGGGCGTGTCCCTGGGTCTGTTCTTCGATCGCCCTGTCCTTGCTTTACAAGAGATTGTTGCCTGACCGCCCTTGAGGTCCCAACTGGCTTTTTGTGCATTCACAGGATGGTGAGATTGACCTGAAGCTCCTCACCAAAGTGCTGGCTCCAGAGCATGAAGTACGAGAGGTACGGTAGCAGATGCCACTCGCCATTGTCCCTCCAGGCTGGCCTGCACTTCCCTGGGGCCTAGATGCATGGGAAGGTGACTGCCATTGAGGGGAAAGGCCATTCTTTGTCTTACCAAGTGATACCCTTGTTGTCAGGACGATGTTGGTTGGGACTGGGACCATCTATACACGGAGGTGTCCTCGGAGCTCCTCACCGAGTGGGACCAGATGCACACTGAGAAGGAGGACCCCCCAGGACCACCTCGGAACACCTGAACGCATTATCTCTGCCTCAGACCTGGAGCAATGCAGTAGGCCTCAAGCCAAGGAAACTTACAAGCGGATGAGAATTTCTATATGGAATATTTTGTAATAAAAATATTTTCAGTAGACCACACTGGGTCATTCACATGCAATAAATGGCTTTATTCTGTGGATGCCTCTTCGGTTTCTTTCCAGCCCCGTCTTGGAAAGACTCGTGAGCAGTCTGAGGGCAGCTCTGAGCTCCAGGGAGCTGAAGAGCCCAAGGAGAGCTCCGTGTGGGAGGAGTGGCCCCCACTGGCAGTCGCAGCTTCTCTCCCTGCAGCACAGGGCCCGGGTAGTGCGCCCTAAAGGAGGTTGCAGACAGTTGCCCACCGTGGTCCTGGGAGGGCCTGGCCTGGCATGATGCCTTCAGACTTGCCCTTGAGCGCCATGGGGCCCTGTGGCGGGACTGTTGCTTTGTTCTGTCTTCCAGGCAGCTGGCGCTGAGGAGCAAGCAGGGGGCGTGATGAGTAGGGTCACCTCAGGGCCTGGTGGCTGTTGGGATAACACTCTCCCTTCCACCACCGACCCCACCCGCCTGTACCCCACGCCTTGAGCTCCAAGGCCCACACCTCCCTTCTGCCACATGGTCCCAGAGCCCCCTTCCAGATGCTCCTTGGGAGGGGCAAACCGAGTCTCCCTGAGAACACCACAGAACATTCTCCCAGGAGCAGCCCTCTCCCCACCCGTTGTCGGGAGCCTCTGACCAGCCTCTGACCGTTGGGTACACAGCTGCTGCTCTGCTCTGCCCCGCACCCTCCCGTCTCTCCCACCACGTGCTGACAGGGAGCAGAGCCCAGCCTTCCCCTAAGCGGATGCTCTTGTTTTTGTTTTTCTTGCTTACTCCCAGACACATCTCAGGACAGGGACCTTCCCTGCCAGCCTCTCCAGGCCCCTGCTTTGGCTCAGGCCCATGCAGGTGGCCGCAGCTGACTGAGGCCCACTCCTTGGCCACAGGGAGCCCTGAGTGCTTCTCTCATCCTGCCTAGAAAGCCCTTCATTAAAATTCAGAAAAACAAAGAGGCTCCACACATCAAAAACCCGCTGGGGGGTTATTTTTGTGTGACTAAGGTGCCCTTCCCTGGTGAGCCATGTGTTTGGAGCAGGCAGAGCAAATGCTTGTCTGTTAATTAATAAACTCAGGGTCTTAGTGGCTTGGGGGTCCTGTTTCCTCCTTTTCCAGAGTCCCACTTGCAGCCCTAGTCAGGCCCTCTTTGGAATGATTCCTGTGGCCACTGAGAAGTTTCCATCTGGGCTGGTTTTTCTTGAGCCTGCCTCATTCTGAAACCCAAAGGAGAAGGGCTGAATTGCTGGTCTCTTAATTACTGGCAAATTCCACTGCCTCAGGACTTGGATAACCTTGGAGGTCTTCAGCCAGCCTGAGCAAGTGACTGGGGTTGACTCCTTCCTCCCTTTATAACAGTAGTAGCTACAAGTTCTGTTACTGAGCTCTCACTACGTGCCAGCTACTAGGCTCAGCATGTTGGGTGCTCCCAGTGAAACAAGTACTGTGGTTGTCCCATTTGACAGATGAGGAAACCAAGGTTCAGAGAGGTGAAGAGGTTGCCCAAGATCATCCAGTACAGAGCTGGAATTCAGAACCAAGTTTCCTGACTGCAGCACATTTTGACACCTGTGTTGTTGTTCACCCCTGCTGCCTTTGGTTTAGGAAAGTGCTGCAGATTACAATGGGCAGTTCCCTAGGAGGAACTCCTGCTACCGCCCACCATCCCCAGAGCAGATGCCATTCTCGTCCCTGGAGTATATTCAGGCCTGCAGTGTGAGCCCTGTCCATGTGGCTGAGCTTAGGAGGCCTGTCCCCAGGGAGAGGGGCACGAAGCCAGCAGACCAGGTGAGGCACAGTAGACCCAGGTGAAGTATCTTCTAAGCAGATACCCTGGAATCTATATTTGTCCAATCCTTCTCCTAAGACCCCTTCCTTATGTGACAACCAGCAGTGTCACATAGCCCAGACTTCAGAGAACCTCCCCAGCAGATGGCCTTCAGGTGTAGGACAGACTAGACAAGTATCCGCAGGTTCCAGCCCTGTGGTGTCCTGCAGGGCTCCTGAGTCTGGGTGCTGCTCCTCCGTATGTCATACTAACTGGCTCCTTACCCACTTCTCCTAGGCTGGCTCCTGTCACCTCTGAGTAGGCTTGGTTAGTCCCTGCTGGGCTCAATGAAATCCTCCTAGTGTGTTTGGCTGATAGCTGCAGAGATGCTATTCAGAGGCTGGACCTGATGGGGAAGTGCATTCCTCATGAAAGGTTATTGCCACCTGCCACCTGCCAGGTTCTGTAGAAGGCTGTGCAGATCCAGAGCCAGACAGAACTCCCTTCCCTTATCGAGCTTATGTTGCAGAGGGGAAGTAAAACACAGGCGCCTCAGATGGCAGTGGATGCTGTGCAGAAGAGCAAGGCAGAGTGGAAAAGGCCGCGCTGGGGTGGGACCGCAATTTCAAATGCATAGTCAGAGAGGCCTCCGGAGAGGGTGATGTTGTGCAGAGAGCTGAAGAGGGTGAAGGTCCAAGCACTGGTATTTCCAGTAAAAGGAACAGGAAGCCAGGAGGGGGGCGGGGCCCAGCCTGTCTGGGGAGTATCAGGGGCTCCTGGTGCCTGCGGTGGAAGGGACCAGGGAAGAGGAGATGCTCTGCCTCCTCGTGCCCGAGGCTGGCTCATCTCAGAAGAGGCCTTTGGGTGTGGGAGTCCCCTCCTCCCGTGTCACAGGCATTCTTGGGCCTGTGCCAGGCAGTCTTACAAAGACCTTCCTCCAACTACTGCATGTCCCTGCGTGGTCGGCCCAGAGGGGCAGAAAAGCTGACTGATGCTTCAGGGGAGCGGGGCAATGGCCCCTGTTGCACAGCAGAAAAGAGGATGGGGCCGCCAGCTCCCTGCCAGGGCAGGTGTGCCCAGTGCACAGGGCAGGCGGAGCAGCCAGTTCTAAAGCCCCAGCACGGAATGACCATTCCCTGGAAACTCACAGTTCCTGATGAAGAGCCCCAAGGAAATCCAACTGGGCAGGCCTGCGGCTCAGCCTGAGACTCTCTCCCTGGCTGTTGGTTCACCTTGACGGAAGCCCAGCCAGGCTTTTGCCACTACATGCTCCAGAGGTCAGCTACTACAGTGACAAGTGACCACAATGTGCTACTTGTATAAATCAGGCCACGTCATCAAGGCCACTCTGCCCAGTGATTGGGAGGGCATGTGGGCCCATGGCTACCAGAGACCTCATGCAAGCCAACGTTGGCAACAGAGAGACAAGGAAGCTTACTGCATGCCCAGTGGCACCATGCTTTTCTCCTTGGGACCAAAGAGTTGGTGGCCAGAGGACAGGCAGGAAGGGTAGGTAGGTAGCAAATAACTTGGCAAAGAGCACAGTTTCTGGAATCAGGCAGGATGAGGTTCCTGTCCCAGCTCTGCCACGTAGGAGCTGTGGACCCTTGAGTGCGTTGCTTTCCCTCTCTGATCCTGACTTCTTTTCTGGAAAATGGGATAATACTAGTCATCATCCTCTTAGGATTGTGGTGCCCAGTGAAAACTGGCTGCTGTTATTGGGCATTTGAACTGAATGGGATTGACAAATGAGTCCAGGTGAAGTCACGTCGGATGTTTTATAGCAATGGCACCCATGTTTTGCTGGGGAAACCACCTCAGTCTCCCCTCCTGCAGCTTCTCTCCGTCCTGCACAGAACAATGGTTTGCACCAGGTTTTGTTCCATTTTGTTATTTGTAGCGTCTTTATTGAGATATAATTTTCATATCATAAAATTGAAAATATATAATTGAAAGTGCACAATTCAGTGATTTTAGTAAATTCAGGCAGTTGTACACCATCACGGTAATGCTGCTGGCGAACATTTCCATCACCTCCAATAGTCCCTTGTGTCCACTTTCAGTTAATCCCTGCTCCCATCCCCAGCCCTGGGCAACCGCTGATGTGTTTCCTGTCTCCATAAATTTATCGTATCTGGACATTTCCTAGAATTGGACTCACACCATAGGTAGTCTGCTGAGTCGATGCGACACTTATCAGTAGTTTTGTTTGTTTGTTTGTTTGTTTTTGATACCAGGGATTGGACCCAAGGGCACTAATCACTGAGCAACATCCCCAGCCCTTTTTTATTTTGTTGAGACGGGGTCTCAGTAAGTTGCTAAGGGACTCACTAAGTTGCTGAGGCTGGCTTTGAACTTGCAATCCTCCTGCCTCAGCCTCCTGAGTAGTTCTTTTTCTTGCTGAATGGTATTTCCTGGTACACACGAACACCACCATTTCTTAGTCGGTGGATAGTTGGGTGGCTTCAGTCGAGACCATGATGAGCTACACTGCTATGATCTCCGTGTGCATGTTTTCACGTGGACAAATGCTGTCACATCTCTTAGGCTGATTCCAGGGAGGGAAATTGCTGGAAGACATGGCATGCTTATGTGTTCAGGTTTAAGAAGAAACCACCAAACGTCTCCAAGGCATGGGTTTTATTTTTGCATTTGCTTGGCTTTCAGTGCTTTAGGGTATCAAGGTTAATTTTTCACTTAATGTTTTTTCTTCTTCCTTAGGTTTTTCAAAGTTCACTATTGGGTTTGTCAGGGGCACATTCTCCTGATCCCTCCCTCTTTTCCTGATTCTGTCATGGAATTTATCTGTTTTGAGAACTTTTTCGCCTTTAACTTATAAATTCTTCAGGTAGAAGACTGGGTGGTTTGCATTTCTACCAAGTTCCATTTGAAGAGTTCAGAGTCCCAAATAACATACGGTCCTGACCCCAAGGAGCTCCAGTGAGTAGAGAGAGAAGCTTTCTGCAGGAATAGCAAGTGGAGCCCCCAGGGTCTGCTCCCAAGTGCAGAGGAGAGGAAAGACCCAAAGGAGCTTCGTGTGTACACCAAGAAATACCAGAGGTGGGTTGATTTGCTTTGAGGAGAAGTCAGTTAATTCCAGCCATGAGCCAAATCCAGCCCCTGACTCATTCTGGGAAGTTTTCCTGGAACGAGGCTCTGCTCATGGTTTACATGTGGACCGTCGCTGCTTTTGTGTGGAATGGGCAGAACCTAGTTGCAACATAGACCATCTGGCCCACAAAGCCTCCTTCAGAAAAAGTTTCCAACCAGAGGAAAAAGATGAAAATGAGAAATAGCAGC